TGGTTTACTTTTGCTGGCTCTCATCAGGAGTACTATGATGGGGAACTCGTTTTACTTCTCAAATTGGACTTCTTACCGTTGTCCCACTTTTGTTATTCGTTTGTTTTCCTGATGTTTTAGTCTTGTTTGATTCATTACAGAATTACTGTACAACACGCCACCTAAATCAACGATAATTTGTTTAAAGTTATCCGGTTCAGACACATAATTATCCGCACGGAAAAAGTCTCACATTAATGATAGCAAGATCCCATTAATGGCACGTCTGCTGTGTCCTTTATGTCTTCCATGACGAGCTCAAATATATCTGCACGGCTTCTATCAGGCATTTATTTTACCATTTGTCGTTTATCTTCTGCTACTCTGAGTTTACCCTCTGTCTATATTTGGTGAGGAGAGCTGACCTACAATCAGCGCCATCTACATCTCACAAAATAAATCTTGGTGGATTTACTTGAACGGGAAGCCGAATAATGCTCATCATTACGTGTAGTCTAACTTGGAACAATTTAAGTTAAGACAGTGACATAGATATGGGCTCTTCTGAAGAATGGGATATGTTTTTTTTCTTTGTGTTTTTATCTGCTTCTGTTTACTATGTAATTATGTATATCTCATCACTTATGCTTTTAGCTTGTATATTTCTTTTTGTAATCATAACGGTAACTGTTACTAAACTAGAATTGGAACGGTTTGTATTTTCTAACTGTAGTGTTTGGTCTGTATTGTATTTCAGTTCAACGCCAATCAATCAAGATGAACAACACCATCTTTGTCGTTCTCGTCGTCCTCGCTCTGATCGCCGCTGCCAGTGCTACGTCATTCTCCAGCTGTAACAGCAAGTTCAACGACTGGTACAACGAATGTAAGAGCCGTTATGGCCAACAGAAATGTGACGTAGCCATGGGAGGCTTTTCTGTATCTTGTTATTACAGCTAAGTTCTTCATGTGTCATGTCACCTGATCACGTGACCGGCCGTGGACTTCTGAATAAATCTACTGCACGAGATCTTTGGGTTTGCGTTGTGTGTGGATGTGTGTGTGTGTGTGTGTGTCTGTGTGTGTGTGTGTGTGTGTGTGTGTGTGTATGTGTGTGTATGTGTGTGTATGTGTGTGTGTGTGTGTGTGTGTGTGTGTGTGTGTGTGTGTGTGTGTGTGTATGTGTGTGTGTGTGTGTGTGTGTGTGTCTGTGTCTGTGCGTGTGTATGTGTGTATGTGTGTATGTGTGTGTGTGTGTGTGTGTGTGTGTGAGTGTGTGTGTGTGTGTGTGTGTGTTGTGTTTTGTTTGATAATTATTACTTTTGCTGACACAGCTCTCCAAAAAGAAACTTGAAAAAGTAATCACCTAGTCATCGTGTTAAAGCCGTGCATTCTCCACTCACGCAGCAGTTTAGTTTAAAGCTAAATAATTCTGCATCATCTGACACATTATTATTTCATCTATGTTTGAGAGTCACCAGAGATATGGTCACTCAAAATAGACCTTTAAAATATCAAATTACAAATACCACGCAAATCCTGGACTTAACATTACATGTGCTCCTTAGCTTTTTGTTTAGGAACCATTGGTTTCGTATGGAGCACAAACGCTTTCTTGCACACTTATTGTGTAAGTTAGATTTTGGACATGATAATAATCAATCAGTGAGGAATAGAGGTTACGAAATTGTCATGGTTTGGTGTGGTCTGGGGGTGGGTGGAACAAAGCCACCGTCGTGAAAATCACCGGATGGCTGTTTTTAGTGGACTACATCGTGCAAGTGCTGGAACGTCATGTCTTAACCTTATTTTCGTGTTGGTGCCATTCAAGTAGCCATCCCGATGCATGACAAAGCGCCCTCTCACAGGGCTATGCCATTAGAGGATTCTTGGAAAACCAAATCCTACCAATGTTGACGTGGTCACCAATAAAAAGCCCTGATATAAATCTTACAGGAACGCATAGCCCCATGAAACAACAGCTGGAAAAAAATAACTTTGCTCTCAATTGAAATCCTTTCTTTGTAATTCCCTGTGGCATTTTGGAAGAACTGACAGAAAATTGGGTCTAAATTTAAATAGAGTACATTCCCAAAGGTTCGTGCTCTACATAAAAACCAATGACTCCTAAACAAAATAACAATGAGCACGTTTAGCGTTAAGTCCAGGTTTTGCTTGGGTTTTTGTGACTGAGCTGTTTCTAGTCAGTTCGAAATCATCCGTAGTAAAATTATTGTTTATTGCGGGCACAAAATTCCCAAATTAGATGGACCATAGATGTAGCGTAGGTGCTCATAGAATTTTATGTGTATTGTTACGCCTACTGCCGAGTCTCTCTAATCCTGTCCTCACACTAAGCATTTGGGGCTCTCATCTCGCCTCTCAGGTCCCGGGTTCGAATCCGGGTAGCGACCGAAATAATTTCTTCTCTGAAATTGTCTCATTTCACCTCTTTTCCTGCTCTCTAGCAATGTTCTGTTGTCTGCTTCCGTCTCCATTTTCTGCCCCCACCCCCTCACCTCCTTTGCCCCGTGCTCTGGGCTCCTGACTCTTTCGGCAGCCTTTCTACTGCTGCTCCTTGGCTCCTTCTTACTGCTGTCTTTCAGCCTCACCCCTGATCTTCTAGCAGGAAAGATCGATTCCTGGCCTTCTCGAACAAGGACGAAAAATCTCGGAGGTCCCGTGTGCTAGTTCCGCATCGTGCGGCTTTCATGGTGCGCATTCCCTAAGAACGCCATTATTTTATGAGCGCTACTCCCTGGAAACACGCTATGTTGGGGTATTTTCAAAGAAATATATCTCAACAGTTTTAAATCATAGATGCTTGTATTTGGTGTTAAAGTAAAGTTCAAATCTTTGTCAACACAAACATAGTTTTTAGGACCACATTCATTTTCTTTGACAAAAGTCGTCAACTGTACAAAAGAGCGTATGAGGCTGAAAAAAAAAAGTTTTCAAACAAATTCTACACCCCAATACACACACTAAACAGTTCAATGGTGTTTTTCAATGATCTTAACACCTGCTCATACAGGCATGATCCATGATAAATATAATTCAACTAAAATCAATAGAAAATTCAACCTAACGAGTGAAAAATGTGCTGTTGTGAGCAGCTTTATGAACAGCTCAATATACTCAAGCATCGGCTGAGTCAGCTGCTTCTTTCGGTTCAGAGTTGAGTTGTACACCTCAGTTCAGCCCGGGTAGAGTGTAACTTTGCAGTTTGAGCACTAGTGCAAAGCCATTTTCTTTTGGCATTTTCTGTTCACTGCTGACATC